GCAGAACACGGAAGACCTATTGGCATGCGAAGTGTTTCAGGAATGGAACAGTATTGTCTTTAGCGACGAGTCTCGATTTTGTTTAGGCATGCACGATGGTCGTGCCAGGGTTAGAAGGCGACGTGGTGAAAGGAGGAATCCACAGTTTTTTGTTGAAAGACATGTTCATCACACTGTTGGAGTTATGGTTTGGGGTGCTATAGCTTATGGTTCCAGGTCACCTTTAATCTTCATCAGAGGTAACATGAACGCGCAGCGTTATATCCACGAAGTTCTAGAACCCCATCTTTTACCCTATCTTGACACCCTGGCAGATCCAACTTTCCAACAAGATAATGCCCGACCACATGTTGCAAGAGTCACAATAGACTTCTTTCAACATAATGATATCACATTGTTACCATGGCCACCAAGATCTCCCGACTTATCCCCAATTGAGCACGTGTGGGATATGATGGATAGGAGATTGCTCAATTTGCAACGTCCTCCTCAGACTCTAGAAGCACTTCGAGAGGAGTTGGTGGTTGCCTGGAATGAGATACCACAAGAGGACATTGACCACCTGATCAGAAGCATGCCTAGACGCGTTGGAGAATGCGTAGCACATCAGGGTGCATCCACACATTATTAAAGGTCAAAGGGCCTTAAAGCAGTGCAATCATTTTGAAACTTTTATCATTTACTTATTATGCTTCATTAAGTACTTATACAAAATTTTATTAAAATAAAACCATTTAAACTGGGTGTTCGGATTTATATGTCACTTAGTATATTTATACCTTTTACATCACCTTTTTCATGGACAGGGGTAAGTAAAGCTACTTTGAACCCTTCTGGGACTTCATTAGAAATATAAATACGGTTGATTAAGTGACATAGCGGCACTGAAATGATGTCAGCAGTATATTTAAATATTTCGGACTTCAAGTTGTCAAAACCGGGCGATTTTCAATTTTTTAATGTAGTTTATGATTGAGGTTACTTCAGTTACATCTACCGCCTCTAAGAAAAAGTACTTTGATTTATTTTCCTTTGCGGTCTATTTTTGTTTGGCGTCACAATCGTTCAGAATAGTATTTGCCAATATTTACAAAGAAATCGTTAAACTTATTCGCAATTGTTATTGGCGAATCACATAATTTATTTTCATCAACCATTTCCTTAACTGCACATTTAGAACTGCCTTTACAAAGTTTATTAACTACGTTCCACAAGTTTTCAGGAGTATCTTTGTTTTTATTTATTTGTTTCTTGTAAAAATTGTATTTAGCATTTCGTATGAGTTTTTCTCATTTTTTCTTATATTCAAGATATCCTCACCTGCTCATTTTCTGGCTGCATCAAGTACTCAGAATATAGAGGATTTTTTTCATCAAAATTTACAATACCTGATGTGATCCAAGGCTTTCGCTTGATCTCGCGCCTATTCAATTTTTTTGTGGCTGTATTTTTATCAGTTAAAGATCTTAATATGTCACTTAGTTGGCTAACCAAAATGTTAACATTATTTTCAGAATAGTAATTGGTCTAATTATATTTATCTAGGTCTTCTCTTAGGCCATTATAATTGATATATTGAATTTCTCTAACAGAAGTATGTTCTACCTTATCTATTGGTATCCCTAGGATTGTGGCTTTATGATCAGTTAAGTGATTTTTCAAAACCACGGAGATACAATTTTTTTCAAAATTGATTACTATATTGTTAAAATATCATTAAATCACAGTGTCGATCAAAACTTAGTCATGAAAAACCAGTTTCCAGTAGCGTCATTTATCCCGTATCTCCGTAGGGGAGCCCCGCATAACATTTTTCATATTTAGCAACTTGTATTCTACATGCATTCATGAAACTGCAATTTTATTCTGAAAAGCCTTGTATAGTTCTCTCAACATATTGCGTATTTCGTGTATAAATGAATAAAATCAAATAGAATCAATAAATAAATAAATACAAATAAACAAAGTCAACATTCAACAACACAATCATGCTACAACAACCCTCTACCACATGCTTTTCCTATTACGAACTTATCTACTAATACTGACATTTACAAGCGAATGATGGTTAGTAGTGCTGTACAACAATATACAAGTACTTGAAACACTAACGATATAAACAACAGTCATTTCAACTACAGATTTTTTATTGCACAACAAAATACGAACGACGTTGTAACAATTTTGCTACCACGTCATGTTTGTATTGAAAAAAGCTCTAGCTACAATGCCGTTTTCAACAACAGTTGATCTGTTGTTTATAGCGTCAGCGAAAAAATGAAGATTGTTAACACAAAGAAATGAAAATGTCTTACTTGGTCTATGACACATAGTGAAAGGATCTCCAACAAAACTATCTAGACAGACACAGTTGGGTACGTGATTAACTACAAGACATCGTGCATTCAATCCACAGGAACCAGGACAGGGATCTTTGCATTTCAGGTTAACGCATGCCAGATCTTTCGAGCAATCACTATTAGAGACACATTCAGGTCTACAGCTTGGAGGTGACCCGATGTAGCTCTCCAAGCAAGTGCATTTCGCGGTACCGCTTTGGGTTGTTTCACATCGAGCGTTGGGACCGCATGGGGATGGTAGGCAAGGGTCTTTGGGTTCCGGCAACCGTGTAGGTTCCTGGACAATCACTACGCGACAGCTTATGAAAGGATCACCGGTGAACCTTTCGGGACAAGAGCAAATTGGGTTGTGGTTCACGACTTGACACCGGGCGTTTATACCGCAAGTGCCTGGACAAGGATCGACGCATTTTTGGTTCAAGCAGGCTTGGTTCAGAGGACATTCCGAGCTCGAAACGCATTCTGGTCGGCAAGTTGGTGGACTACCGATATAGCCCTGTAGACAGGAGCATACCGCTTGGGCGTTAATTTCGCGACACTGGCTATTCGGTCCACATGGTGACGGACTGCACGGGTTTCTTGGTGGTGGGGCTAAATGAAAGAAAAAACAGTATTTTTATTATTCTTGGAAAATCGAGATGTACACCAAAAGGCGTTTAAGATAAGCATCAAAGCAGATGACTGAACAAATTGTTTATAGAACTGGTTTTGCAATACAATATTCTGAAAAGTGCTGACGACGTTTCTTTACTTGAGGCGTCTCAGATTGTGATGCTTCATTTGCTTCGTCAGTCCTGAGACCAATGATGTTTATCTCAAAGAGGGCGGCCTTTTTGAAGCCTCCTCAATATCTTGCATAGTCAACTTGAAAGCCGTCTTATTTTACTACTTTCCTCAAGAAACGCAAATGCTCATCCAATTTTTTCATGTCGATGCAAATCGCAATCCGCATCAAGAGTCAAATAACTGAAAGCCTTCAAAAATTGGAATGGGTCACGAGTGGCCAGCCTGTAGGGCTTTACATGCACCAATTAATATCCTAAACCACATGCACTGAAGAGAATGCATTATAAGCAATTGTGCATTCTTCTCAGCGGAAGTGGGGATATTGATTATCAAAACTATACTAAGTGACATATAAATCCGAACACCCAGTTTAAATGGTTTTATTTTAATAAAAGTTGGTGAATGTATTTATCTTACTGTAAATAACAAGTGAAAAAATTTTCAGCCTTATCAGTTGGACATTCCGGTTTTTATACTGCTTTTTTCACTAACGCTCTAAAAATGAATATTTCAGCCGCAGTAAAGAATCAACGTTGGCGGATTTTGGTTCTTGACATCCTTTACGATCGGTTACGATGCCTAGAGTACGGAGACCTGTACGATTTCGTCAACTTAGTGAGTTTGATAGGAGCCGTATAGTGGGACTTCGGGAAGCTGGACTTTCTTTTCGGGCAATTGCAGTTAGAGTGCAAAGAAGTGTAGACACTGTGGTTAGGTGTTGGTCAGGCATGGCTTCGAGAAGGCCGTACGCAAAGAGCAAGGGGCACTGAACGCCGCCGTAGAACAACAGACCGTGAAGATCGCCGCCTAAGATTATTGGCCTTAAGGGACCGGTTTCTCCACTACCAGGTCCATTGCAAATGAATGGTTTGCAGAACACGGAAGACCTATTGGCATGCGAAGTGTTTACCGACGAATGAGAAGTTTTGGCTTGTTTTCATACCGGCCACACTGGGTCCTCCCTTTAACTCGAGAACACCGACGTAATCGCCTTGAGTGGTGCAGACAACGGTCACTCTGGGATCAGGAATGGAACAGTATTGTCTTTAGTGACGAGTCTCGATTTTGTTTAGGCATGCACGATGGTCGTGCCAGGGTTAGAAGGCGACGTGGTGAAAGGAGGAATCCACAGTTTTTTGTTGAAAGACATGTTCATCACACTGTTGGAGTTATGGTTTGGGGTGCTATAGCTTATCGTTCCAGGTCACCTTTAATCTTGATCAGAGGTAACATGAACGCGCAGCGTTATATCCACGAAGTTCTAGAACCCCATCTTTTACCCTATCTTGACACCCTGGCAGATCCAACTTTCCAACAAGATAATGCCCGACCACATGTTGCAAGAGTCACAATAGACTTCTTTCAACATAATGATGTCACATTGTTACCATGGCCACCAAGATCTCCCGACTTATCCCCAATTGAGCACGTGTGGGATATGATGGGTAGGAGATTGCTCAATTTGCAACGTCCTCCTCAGACTCTAGAAGCACTTCGAGAGGAGTTGGTGGTTGCCTGGAATGAGATACCACAGGAGGACATTGACCACCTGATCAGAAGCATGCGCGTTGGAGAATGCGTAGCACATCAGGGTGCATCCACGCATTATTAAAGGTCAAAGGGCTTTAAAGCAGTGCAATCATTTTGAAATTTTTATTATTTACTTATTATGCTTCATTAAGTACTTATACAAAATTTTATTAAAATAAAACCATTTAAACTGGGCGTTCGGATTTATATGTCACTTAGTATAGTTGGAATTGCATGTGGAGAAAGTTCCGCTCTGAGGTGACATCTCTGCGAATTTGTGAGTTTATTCCTTGTCAGCCCTATGCGGTGCTAAGCAAGGGTGCTCTGCCAGAAGCACAACTACGTCCACGTCACAATTCTGACAAATCTTTCTGTAATATTCGACTTTCCTTGAGAAACGTTGTTAACCATTAATTTAACGCTTGATGCGGAGTATAAAGTCAAAATCACGAAAGATGACGATTACGTCATCATTTTAGTCTGTATCAAAGACAAACGACAGCGAATATTTTTAATGAAGTTTCTGATATGTTAGACAGAGACAAACAGAATTTTATTGTCTAAACAAACTCATAACATAAATTTATTGTCATCATTCCTGACATCGTGATTTTATCATCGACGTACGTCCATTGATTACTTCAGTATAATTTATGATATAACGTAAAGGTCATCTTCCGTGATTCTGACTATATGTACCGTAGTCCATTTGGATGGTCCTTTACTTTCCCTGAAAAACGTAGTGCAGTTAATGATAATGCAAAGGTAATAAAGAGGGCTCAGATCGAAGAAGACCGCCTTCTACCGTGAGAAAGATACATATTTTATAATTTTCCTCAAGACTCAGGGCTATCAAAGCAAATAAAGCGTGCTCCCTCTTAAGTGTCTTAACTATTAGTCCTGAAAATCTAATCTCCAATGATATGCCTAATCAAAGACATCTTCAACGCCTTTTGTTGCAAGCACAGTAAGTACGCTTACCTTCAACTTTCGAGCAAAGTACAAATGGATTTCCTGAATATTCCTGTAAGCAATTGCATGAAGGTACGTGGTTGAACACGGTACATTCAGCGTTTTGTCCACAAATTCCAGGGCATGGATCTTTGCATTTTCTGTTTATACATGCTTTATCTCTAGGACAGTCACTGTTCAATACACATTCTGGTCGACATTCTCTGTATGGATCTCCTTGGTATTCTGGCAGACAAGTACATGTACCATCATTGCACCTTGCGTTTGGACCACATGGGTTTGGATGGCAAGGGTCTTTTGGTGCTGGTACTAAAAGAAGGAATCAATTGTGAAATATCAGTCAACAGTTTCCTATGAATCTAACTTTGAAGATGCTTATATTTGTTGTATGTGAAGATATTACAGTTGATGGTAACATTTATCAATCAGAAAATCCATAAGCATATGTTGTGTAAAAAATTGATGAATAAGAATAAATCCAACTGGAAGTTAAATCACTTTTGAGCGTAACATAATTCAGAAAGCTTGGCTTATAGGCCTGAGAAGCTTCAAAACGATTTGAAACCTAGACAAAGAACATGTGCATCTTAAAATAATGTTTTCATTTGAAAATATACTTACGTTGTGGAGGTACATAAATGCAAGTGACGAAAGCATCGCCACTATAACCAGGAGGACAAGCACAGTTTGGATTGTGATTCCGTACTTCGCATACTGCTCCAATACCGCAAGATCCAGGACAAGGGTCCTTGCATTTTTCATTGATACAAGCCAAGTTGCTTGGGCATTCTGAGTTGATTGTACATTCTGGCTTACAGTTAGGCGGGTTGCCTATATAGTTCGGTAGACATGAACATGACGGGTTGTTTCCTATATTTCTGCACTGACTGTTTGCTCCACAAGGACTTGGAACGCAAGGATCTGTTACTACTGGTGTCGGTTGTTCTTTTGGAGGTGCTGAAGAACACAAACGGTTACTTTTACTCCAATTCCAAAGAGGAATGTCGATTCAACAGCTTATAATATAATTAATATGAATGATATTTATTGAAGCAACAATATAGAAGAAATATTGGATACTGGAGTATTTGAAAACAACACAAGAAAAATTAAGCTAAACGTTACAAGTCACGATCAGGGGTATTGGATTGAAAAGCTTTAATATTCTATTTTGGTTTTGAGCAGATTCCAATATTTTTGTATTTAGCATATATGTAGGTATAAACAAACGAGTAAGCAAAATATTACACTAAACAAGAACCATCACGATCAATGATGGATGAGTTGGAAAAAATGCAATATATCGAAAAGGGAGATAATAAAAATAATGAAAAGTTGTGCTCTTACGTGGTATGTTGTAGCATCTAGTGAACGGATCACCCGTGTTTCCTATAGAGCAACTGCATATAGGGCTATGATTTATCATTTGACATTTGGCGTTCAATCCACATGTTCCCGGACAAGGATCAACGCATTTTTGGTTGATGCAAGCTTTTTCTTGAGAGCATTCAGAACTGACAGTACATTCTGGTCGACAACCTGGCGGTGATCCAATATAATTCGGCAGGCAGGAGCATACTGCTTGGTTGTTCACTTCACGACATTGACTGTTTGGTCCACAGGGACTTGGGTTGCATGGTTGAACAGGAGTTGCTAAAATATATAGATAGTAAGACATACATACTTTGCTTGATGAGAGGTCACTGAAGACTCGAGAATGTTCAATGTTCAAGAGTAAGTGAAATCGGTTATTTGATTTCATATTTTGTAAGAATTTAGAAATGTCTCATTAGCTTCTGCCATTTCTAGATATTTTTTCATTCAATAGACGTAAATTGGAGAACAAATGACATTACACAAATGCTAAAAACGTCTCGGTATCAGGTAAATGGCCTTCATATACTGTAACTTTTTGACAATTATTATTATTATTATTATTATTATTATTATTATTATTATTATGATAATTGAGATGAGCAGAGTACACAGTACTATAAGCTCATGCAGTAAATATAGTGTACGGACACGTAACACAAATACATCAAATAGAAAAAAATAAAAAAGACAGTTCATAGCTATAAAGTTTGTACACTCCTCCAGCTATCATAATGCACTTTGAAGCTTTTAACTGAAGTAGCACCAATCACACTTTCAGGTAAACTATTCCAGGTGTTGAATATGCGGTTGGGAAGAAACCACTGTCGAACTGTTGTTTTAAATGGCTCCTTATGTAGTTTGAAGCTGTGTCCGCGTAGATTGCTGCGCGACAGACGGTATAGATGCATGAGGTTGGTGCCCATCAAACCACGAAGTATCCTGAACGTAACTATAAGACCGCCACGAAGTCTTTGCTCAGAGAATGGGGTCAGGTTGAATAATTCAAGGCGATCTTCATAGCTTGGTCTTCGTGCTCCAAAAGGGATACGAGTAGCCCGACGCTGTACTGATTCGACGAGATTTATATCGCGCAGAAGCACAGGGTCCCATATCGGGCCAGCGAATTCAAGAATTGGCTTCACGAATGCCTTGTAAATGTAGGCGCAAGTGTTGACATCGGATCCTTTGAAAGACCTCTCCAGCATGTATAGAAGTTTCTTGGCTTTTGATGTAACGTGGTGAATATGCTCTGACCAGGAATGACGATCGTTGACTACAACGCCCAGATCAGTGTGGCTGGAAACTGCTTCGAGGTTGTGGTCAGAGATCTTGTATGTAAATCGCGGATTTGTCTTCCCGAGGTGAAGGACACAAGACTTAGTTAGATTTAAGGGTAAAAGCCAACTGACTGACCATTGACAAACAATATCAAGATCTCGTTGAAGCATAGCAGAATTTACGACAGTATTGTAAATCTTGGTGTCGTCGGCATAAGCTGAACATGTGGAGGAAATCAATGCGAGCAGGTCACTTGTATACAGAAGGAACAGCACTGGCCCCAAGACAGAGCCTTGAGGAACTCCACTTGCTACATGATGAAGGTGAGACTGGCTATCACTGACGCGCACAGAGAAAGTCCTCCCGGTGAGAAAAGCCTTAATCCACAGTAACAACTCGCCTCTTATTCCTATACATTCCAACTTAAACAGAAGCCTTCTATGTGGTACGCGATCGAAAGCCCTAGAAAAATCTAAGTAGATTATATCAACAGGAGTCTTTGTGTCCAGATACTGAGTCCAATCGTTGAGGGAGTGGAGAAGGTTGGTCATTATTGATCGACCAGGGAGAAATCCATGCTGATTCTTAGGGATAAGGTCATTTTCGAAAGCAAATGACAGGAGCTTATGATTCTTTCAGCTATTTTGGCGGCGATAGGAACGAGACTTATTGGTCGATAATTTTTAGCGGAGGATTTGTCGCCCTTTTTGAATACAGGGGTAACAGAAGCACTAATTATGTTACTTGTTCGTGATAACTGTCGTATGGTGGCACCAAATCTGGTACGATAGAATGATTGTGAATGGGGAGCTTAATGTGGCGATCTTCAGTGGCCCCTACAGCTTTGGCTAATATACTCACGTTCTTTGATCTGGATAGCATTGCAGAATACGAATGGATCCCCAGTATATCCAGGTACGCATGTACAACTTGGCAGATGGTTGATCACCTGACACTCAGCAAACTGTCCACAAGTTCCTGGGCAAGGATCTTTGCACTTGTTATTGATACAAGCCTTGTTCGACGGACAATCAGAGTTCAATACACATTCTGGCCTACATCCTTCGTAAGGATTTCCTATGTACTCTGGTATGCACACGCAAGATCCCGCGTTGTTTCTTTCTTTACAAATTGCGTTAGCGCCACAAGGTGACGGGAAGCATGGATCTATTTGCTCTGCAGGCCTAGGCGCTTGTATTTCTAAACACTGTTGGAAGGGGTTGCCAGAAAAGCCTTGCAAGCAGATACAGTTCGGTGTATGGGCCACCACTCTACATTCAGCGTTCTGACCACAAACTCCTGGACACGGGTCTTTGCATTTCTGGTTGATGCAAGCCAAATGGCTTGGACATTCGCTGTTGCTGATACATTCAGGTTTACAGTTTGGAGGTGATCCAAGGAACTCTGGTAAGCATGAGCATGAAGGTGAACCATTCACTTCCTTGCACTGAGAGTTTGGTCCACAAGGTGATGGTTGACAAGGATTGGTTGGTACCGGAGCAGGCTCTTGAACCACAGGAATACATCTCAAGAATGGATCTCCAGTGTATCTATCCGGGCAACTACAGATTGGATTGTGATTGACTACTTGGCATCTAGCGCTGATTCCACACGTGCCGGGGCATGGGTCTATGCATTTTTGATTGACACACGCTTGGTTCAGTGGACATTCAGTGCTGGTCACACATTCAGGTCGACAAGTAGGTGGACTGCCTATGAAACCTGGTACGCAAGAGCACACTGCTTGCCCGTTTATCTCTCTACATTGACTGTTTGGTCCACATGGTGATGGGCTGCAGGGGTTCTTTGGAGCTTCAGCTGGAAAGTAAAACATCATCAGTATCAACTCTTTTATAAAATTAAGCTTGTCTGTACTGCTCTTGGCTTATCAAGTTTGGTTGCAACAAGCGGAGAAATCATGGAAGTGGAAAGGAATAAGGGAAGACAGGAAGTGAGTGATTGAGCGAACGGAAGGGAGTGGGGTCAGATGGAAGGATACCTTGTTTGAAATCGGCGACTACGATTCAAGAACTTTGAATTGATCTAGAGAGATTATAAAAGGTAACTAACCTGGTATTGGAGAGCAGAAGACAAATGCATTCCCTTGATATCCCTCATTGCACGTGCAAGTAGGAATATGGTTGATCACAGCACATTGAGCGTTCTGTCCACATGTGCCAGGACATGGGTCTTTACATTTATTGTTTATACATGCCAGATTCCTCGCACAATCGCTGTTCAAGACACATTCAGGCCTGCAACCTTCGTATGGGTTTCCTTGGTATTCCGGTAGACAAGTGCATACGCCATTGCTGCATTTGGCATTGGCACCACATGGTGACGGGTTACAAGGGTCTGTTTCTATCGGTTTGACCTCGATGGGCTTGATCTTACAATAACTGAAAGGATCCCCGGTGTAGCCTTCAATACAAGAACATATTGGTGTATGGTTGATGACACTGCATTGGGCGTTGGAACCACATGATCCAGGACACGGATCTTTGCATTTCTGATTGATGCAAGCCAAGTTGCTGGGACAATCAGAATTGATCGTACATTCAGGTCTACAGTTTGGAGGTGTTCCAATGTAGTTTGCCACGCAAGAACAAGATGGTGCTCCGTTCACGTCTTGACATATCGAGTTTGGACCGCATGGAGATGGTACGCATGGGTTCTGGATCTTCACTGGTTCTTTTGGAGGTGCTGGAAGAAAACAATTATTATTGTAACAGTATATTGGGCCAGAAGTTGATAAGCAGCTATCAGTTGTTTTATGATTGTGTAACTTACGAGGTGTAGGGAAGCATCTGGTGAACGGATCTCCTGTGAATTGTGCCTTACAGCTACAAATCGGACTATGATTTATCACTTGGCAATTTGCATCTAGCCCACAAGTTCCTGGACAAGGATCTGCGCATTTCTGGTTGATACAAGCTTTGTCTTGGGCACATTCGGAGCTCACGGTACATTCTGGCCTACATCCTGGTGGACTACCGATGTAATTTGGTAGACATGAACACACTGCTTGACCATTCACTTCACGACATTGACTGTTTGGTCCGCAAGGACTTGGTTGACAGGGATTTTTAGGCTCCTCAACTTTCACAGCTAAAATATAAAAAAACATACGATACACATTCATTCAAAATAACTGTTGATGGACTATACAATCTTTCAATGCCAAGATGAATGTTTAGCAGAAATATTATGGACATTTAAGATCCTGTTTAAACCTTTGTGACTCAATTAAAGCTTTTGTTCGGCTTATGTGTCGATATGTCAGTTTGATCATATGGTTTGAGGTTTGTGCTTTAAGCATATGCTGCTTCTTATTGATAATCATGATCATTCCAAACTCCATAATACTGCTAAGTCCGTTAACTAAAAACCTACGGCTTAAGTATTTATTATAATATTTTCGCGACCATCTGATACTTAAGCTCTAAAATTACACAATAACCTTCGACGTTCTCTGTAACTTACGTTGTTGTAGGTTGCAGAACCTGAACGGATCTCCGGTATATCCTGGTATACAAGTACACGAAGGCAAATGGTTGATGACTTGGCATTCTGCATTTTGTCCACAAGTACCTGGACACGGATTCACGCATTTGTTCCTTATACAAGCCTTATCGGAAGGACAGTCTGAATTCAAGGTACATTCTGGCCTACAGCCTTCGTAGGGGTTTCCAATATATTCTGGTAGACAAGTACACGATCCTGCTCCATTTAATTCCTTGCAAATAGCATTGGCACCACATGGTGATGGAA